ACAGTTGCATCCTGAGGCATTTTTGGTGGAGGGGTAAGGGCCAGCTCAGTTAGGGGTAGTTGTATAATTTCCAATCACTTCTTGGCTCCCAGAGGGCTGCAGTCAAGAGAATAAACACCTATTCTTTACTTTTTACTTTTTTGCTCCTTTTTCACTCCCAAAATATGGTCCTCAAGAATGACCTGAGTCTTTGCTTAGTGTTCACTGCTGGGCACTCACCCAACTAATTTGGAGAATGCTGGGAGAGGGGAGATAAAGCCGGGCAAGAAGACTTGAGGAAGAGCCTTGGTAGGACATTCAGCCCATAAACTTTGGCTGAAAAGTTTGTCTCAAAACTGAAAGGAATCATTCTTTGATGCAGCAAATAAGGTCAAACCATGACTTCTGCATCTATTTACAAGTTATTCATTTTTCCTAAAAATGGGAAGGGATAATGAGAATATTGGTGGTTGACTAATTTAGAAAAAAAAAGCTCATCTATAAGATTAAGAGCCATTTTTAAATACTAGTATTTTATTGACAGTACTTTACTTTCACTAAGCCTCAAACTTGACTTTGAATCAACATCCAGGGCTCATCTTGGGCTTTCATGTCCTCCTCAAAAACAGTATTTTAATGAAGTTGTTATGAGAAGAGAAAGTACTTTCTGCATTGTTTATTGAGAGATAACTTTATACATTAAGAATGGGTGCACTTTTATGTGACAGATCATAAAAACTAGATGTCCTGTCAACAACACAACTTCACTTTTATATTATTGTAGTTACTGATACTTAAAAAATCATGTAAACAAAAATATGGATAAGTTATGCCAACACAAAAGACCATAAAGAAAACAGAGAGAAGACACATATAAGTTAGCACATTAACTATTACAAATTGCTTAACACAGAGTGATACAAGAACCTAGATCCAAAATTTTACTCAATTCTGTAGTGCATGAGCAGAAATAAGGGAAAAAAAATGACAGGGATCTGACTAAGGATCAAATTCTACAGACATGTTCCACATCACCATGTTCGTACTCTTCATTTGCAATCTTGCCATTTTCCCTCTTTTTACCATTCCTTGGAGACATTTTTCTTGAATCTTCTATGGTAGGCTAACAGCTATTCACAGTAAGAGTCTGGGTGGTGACCTAAGCCAATCTGGCAGCTCAGTGGACTACCTATGTCACACAAAGGGACATTTTCATCAAAATTTACCCAAGAGGCTTCCCACTTCCAATATGAAAAACAAGTGGCAAAATAAAAGGAAAAATCTTTATATAGTAAAGGAAAAGGAAATCCTTGTGTCTGTGTAGTTTTTGAACCTAAAAAAGGCTAAGTTCACAGATTTTACATATTCAATTTTGAATAGCTGATTATATTTCTCACCCATTGACCTTGGTGACATCATGATATTCCCAAGTTTAGTTAATGAAAGCAGGCAAGCAAGCAAGCAAACAAACAGAAAGAGTGAGATGAAGAATAGCATAAAACATTATATGGTTGTGTCTTTTGTATTTCCTGGTAAAAGTGCCAATGGCACTAAAAACCCAATGTTTTTACCACTCTATTTTAATACTGTGTTTCCAACATGAACCCCTCTAGTATACTAAGGAAGTTAAGGCACCAGGGTAAGCAAAGGTGGAAAGTCTGGTATGCATCATGGAGTAGGCAGGCTCCAGTGCACCTGTGTGAAGAGTAGCCATTAGGGAAGAAGCAAAGTAGAAGGATCCTGCAGACTTCAAGTGGGTTGGAGAGACTAGACTAGAAGCACTAGACGGTACTGTAAGGCACTCCTACAGGGAAAAGAAACACATGGGAAGGCTGACACAGAGAAGGAACAATTGGCCAGTTGTCCACTAGGTGGTTTATTGGTCACAAGTCCTGAATCTGGTCCAGGGCTCAGGACAAGAGGTGAGAAAGATCAAGGGAGCAGGTGATGGCTGGTTTGTAGCATCACAGCCAGTCAGAGGGAACCCTCACTATGGAAGAACTGCTATTAGTGCTGTAATTTTCCACCCTGGGCAACAACTGGCTTCACTCAAGAGTTTTCCAACAAGATGAGCAGCCAGTGGCTTCTCTTCCCATTGGGAGGAGCTGAAGCAAAACAGAAGTTGTCCCACTTATTATTGCCCTTCCATCACATCAGAGGACACTTTATGAGGAAAGTGCCATATGCCATGATCATTTGGAACTCATCTTAAATAAAACCCCACACTTTTTTGACTTTTACCTAGAGTTTAACAATGACTTGGATTTTGTCTCAGCCATGTTCTCACTAAAACATACTGGAGAAAAATCCTCAAGTCAGATTTCTGAATCCAATGAAATGAGAATTTTCTATAGATAAGAAGACTGCTGGGTGTTGAGACTTAACTGTCAAAAATTATCCCACCTGATAGAGATCAACACTGGCCTGCTTAGAGCAACTGAGCTGGGCTTATTCACCCACCACTGGATTGTACTAATTCTGGCTAAGGAGACTGGCACAAGGCATAGGGCGCTGAAAGCCTGATCACCCATACTGACAAGTGTGACACCAGGGAAAGGAAAACAGATTTATTAGTGGTTCCAGTCATGCCGAGGAGGGGGAGCATTTGTTTCTTTCAGTCGTGCCCCATTTACTTTTTCATTTATTTCAGAGTATGAAAAGAAGTAGGGAGGAAGACTCAAAAAGGGGAAAACTGCACACATCTCTACTGTGAGAAGTAAAAAATCAAATAAAAATGTCTGTGCTGAAGCCAGGCAGTATGAGAATAAGTAGCTGAAGATTTATTTAGTGGTCTAGCTAGCGATTACCACACGGTGTGGCAGATGGACGGAGGCTAACTCTGCACACACACCCATGAGCAGCATGTGGCTTGACTCTGAGGTAGGAGCACAATGGATCTCCCCTTCCTGCAATAAAGCTTGTCTTTGCAGCAGGAGGTCAGTGTGTTGGCATCGAGCTAGTCCTGCCCTGAGAGTTAGTTTACATGTGGCATTGTTTTTGGCAGATGGGTAGAGAACAAATCCACAGGTATAGGCCAAGTCTCTCTGAAGAGGCATGGGAAGAAACTATGCAGTATCCATGTTCAGTGTGTATACATGTCATGCAGAGACAAACACAGAGGCTAGCCCTCATCAAAAGGCATGTTCCAACTGAACAAAGTCTGTGTTTGGCAACCAGAATGACATAAACAGCTTTGTCTCTCTGCCGCTCTGGGAAGTCACGGTACAGTTCCATTTCATGAGTCTGAAGGGTCCCACTATGCTGGAATCCAAAAGTACCAAGCACTAGCCATATTCTCTTTTTGGTGTAGCCCTAATCTAGAAGAATCAAGAAAACTCAAGAAGTGACCGCTTGTCTCCTCATCAAATGTGTAAGCACTACAGATGTGTAAATGGCGAGGACATAGGCCCCTGAAAAGGTAGCGAAGCAGAGGGGGTCTAGGAGAGTTTACAGGGTTTTCATATAAAGATGCTTTCAACTTTGGAAGCAGGCAGACCAGGAAAGGACAGTTTCCATTCCAGCTGACAGCTTTGTAAGTAACCTTGTAGCCTTACTGTAGTGCAGCAAACTGAGGTTTATTTTAGGAACTGGCTTCTTTACCGTGGCTTAGATGCCAATATCTCACCAGGGCTGGATGGTTTCACATATGAGTTTCTGGCACTAGAAGGAGGGATTTCCTCAAATGATACACCAGGGAATTGGCCTTTCAGTGGAAAGCAGTGCCTTGGACTTGGCTGCCAGGTCTAGGAGATTAATTGGCCATCTTCCATCATGCTTTATGTGCAAGATGTTTACTATGGGATGGAAAATGGAACACGATGCAAAACAGGTATTAGTTTGGTTTTAAGGAGGTCGTACTCCACAGACTTGCTTTTGTTTCAACAGTTTCTAAGCATTAAAACAATTACCTAACACTGCACCAAGCAATTTGTTAGGCTTGAAAACAGCAAGGGCGTTCTTGTGCTCTATGGCATTCTGGACAAAAGTAGCAATTTTGAATTTTCATGGCAGGCCCAACTCCTAAGCTGGCTCTGCTTTGTCCTATCAGATTTTGGTGGTGGTGGCAGAGAATGCTGTTGTAGGCCCACAGCTGGTGTGCACCAAGCTGTCAGAGTTGTACAAAAAGGAGACAAAACAGAAGCAGTGGGGACAAAATTCCAGTTCTGGGTAGCTGATGGTGGTGCACATTTATTTCTTTCCCTTTTGAAACAAACAGAAAGCAATATGGGTGGAAAGTTCTTAGGAATTCCCAGGGGCTGCTATTAGTTAGCAAGGCTCTCTAAATGGGCAGTAGGGAAAATAAAGGTGCCTAGATCAGGAATCCAGACTTTCACCCTTGGGTGAAGGGTCAGTAGGTCTGACCTCGGGTGTCTGTGAGTTGGGACAGGAAATTCTGACATACAGTAAACATGTTAGAAGGGGAGGAGATGGTTCTCCACTTCAGGTCTCCAAATGCAGCGTGCCAGGAACAGGCTCACTGACAGTCGGAATCACAGATACATTAATTACAGCAAAGGCAAAAGTAAGCTACAATGACAGGGAGCTGGGGTTGGAGGGAGAAGACACTTTGCATGGGAGCACATCTGTTTTATAAAAAGCAGGTCTATAATTCTGTGTAAAAGATCATGTTCAACTACCTTTTCTGAGTCTGGAAGATACTGTATTTCACAAAGGGGAGGAGGAAAAGAGATGATCAAATTTGTTTGCCTACTTGCCAAGTGTTTGAGACATTGCACCCTTTTTTTCTTTCATGCGTGTGTGGGGGACCAAAGAGTAGTCAACCTGCTCTTCTAAGAATAAAAGGCACCATGAGGCATCTCATGAATAGGGCCCTGGCCTTTAAACAAATTTCACGCCTTGGTTGCAGCTACTGTGTATAATCAGAAAATAAATGCATGTGTGATGCAGAATTACTAAGTTGAAATGCATGTCTGGGGCCAAAGGAAATGGTGTAGGCTGAGAGGTAAAATGCTTACATCTAGGTGCACAAAAGTCAGTTTGAAATGTCAATAAGTGGACAGAAGTATCATGAGCTGACCTCTGGAGGGAGCGAGGTGTGGGGTTGATGTACCTTGTACTTTGTGGGCTGAGTCCCCAGATCGCAATAGTAGTGAAACCTCGAAGTCATCTGCTCAGTGTGAAAGATGCAGAATATTCTCATGAAGTCTACTGGGAATTGAATTGCTTCATTATGAGCATATGAAGGAAGAAGAAATGGGGGCTTGAAGTTTCTTGTGCCAGAATATCTGCCACTTGGTCACGATGGCAGCTACACTGGCTTTCACAAGGGGACTATAATGGGAGGACACTACCCTGCCAAACAGCAAAGCAATTCATTGTATTTCTTATTCCTATTATATTATTAATAGTAGCACTTTTTGTTTTACTGGAGGGTAGCACTTATATATGTGTATATCTATTTCAACAATATGAGATTTAATTCATTAATTCTATTTTTAAGTTTGGTATATTTTTAATAGTTTAAAGTTGGCATTTTTCAAAACCTTACTGTAATCTTTTAAATAATTAAAAACACATGAAGCCACATGTGGTTCACACCTGTAATCCCAGCACTCAAGAGGCTGAGGCAGGAAGATCATGAGTTCGAGGCTAGCCTGGGGTACATAGGGGATAGATACCCTGTGTCAAAACCAAAACAAAACAAAAAACAAAAAAAAAATGTGAAAGCAAGAGTGGTAAAACTGATCAATTAAAGGTCAAAATGAGAGTGAATAATAATAAAAAAAGAATAATAAGAAGTAAAGCATTTAAAATGACTGGGTAGGAACTGTCTACACTGGACTCTGAAAGAAACTGAAGATTGTCTCTACCTACCAGTCTATGTGCTGATATCTTTAACCACAATCCTAGGATATTTTCTCAGGCCAGCACCATGAAAAAAATTGTAAATGTCACCCATGACACCCTTGGAAAACTGTACTTCGAAAACTGTACTGTATTTACAACTGGGCAAATATGGCAGAGTCACATCCTTTGGGAGCGTTGTGGAATAGACCAGCTATATGTAGTTACTGGTTTCAGAGGTCTCTTCTTTTCTCAGGAAAACACTTCCTGGGATTAACTTCAAATTCAAAACCAGAACCAGCTCTCTTCCTAAGTTAGGGGTGTATGCTTTTTGTCAGAGAGAGTTTGTGCTTCTGGCTTCCTGCCGGGTGGCTCTGCTTCGGCAATCCCCATCTCTGCCAGGAACACAGGGTCCTGGAAAGATCCAGGAGCATTCCTGTGTTCTGGAGATTTCCTTATGAAGCAAATGACGATAGTGCCTGCCTCAGTTCCCTCAGCCTCTGTGAAGACTAAAAATAAATAATACAGAAATAACCCAAAGCTCTGTTGCTCTGACAGAAATGATACCTCCTATCATGTATATTAACACGGCCCCTTGAGCCAAAAAAGGGGGTTCTGAACTATAAAGCAATGTGTGTAAACCACATTTTGCTGGGAGCAGGTAGCTGAAATTCATGGTCAAGTATAATTCAGGTCTCAGTAGGCTTTCAGTCACAGAGGCTCTATGGACCAGTTAAGACAACAACTTATGCAGAACACACGTACAGGATGTATAGGTGCATATGTATATATAAATAAATAAACCTATCTATCTACATCTAGCTGAAGAAGAGACACTCTTCTTAATGGGGTGGAAGTGGCCACTGGGAAACCGTCTGGCTAAGACTGTTGTGGGAGGGTGCCACATGCCCTCCAGTCAGGTGTTCTGGTAGGACAACTCAAACATGGTGCATGCCTCCTCCATGCTCTCGTCCACATTCAGCCGCCGCCAGAAGGACTTCTGCTTCTTTTGCAGCTCTCGGCGGACACACCTTGGGCAGGGGACAGACTTCTCTTTGCACTCAGAATGGAAGACAGCTCCACAGCTTTCACACCTGCAAAAACCAACCATAAATATGATGAGCCAGACTGAAGAACAAGACACCCCATGTGAGGTCCAGAGGTCTCAGGGGCAGCTTGGGGCACTGTCTGTTATTCTGGACATCCCTTCTCCTGGGAAGAGAACTGACTCAGAGATATGGACTGTTTCTCTTTCCAAAATGCTCAAGGTTAAATTTTATTTGAAAGACGTTTTTTCCCCTGATTGGAACTAGCCTGGTGAGATGCATATGGCTGACAAATGTAGGGGTCAGCAGTGACTCTGCAACTCTGTGATTATGGTGACAATGGCAGCACTAGAGGCTCTATGTGTGTTTCCTCTTCATGGAGAAAGCAGAGTGGTAGTAACTCTAGGGTGGAGTGATAGAAAATGAGGGTGAAAAGCCTTGCAAACTGGAAATACTGTGCATACCAGCAGTGAGCCCAGCATCACATCTGTAAGAACGCAGCATTCCACTTCAGTTAAACATGAGTTAAACGGTCCTCTGTTAACTCATTGCCTTTATTTGACAGTTCAAGAAGGTACAATGACACATTTTCATTCTTTGAATGATGTCCTGGGGTCTATTCCTCTTTGTGAACTTTTTAAAACCTAGGAAAACTCTCCCACCTTTAAGAGCCTACCTTTATAGCTGAAGTGTAAACAAGAAAGCATGAGAGAGTGAGGAAGAAACACTTTTTCCTAACAACAGGGACATATTGTAACTTATAGAGAGGAGACATTTCAGGTGGGTGACTAGCATGTTCTCTGGCCTGGTGGAAGCCTGCACAGGAGTCTGAATAGCTTGTTTTCACTGCGAAGGTTTTAGTAATGACTAATAAGTTCAACCACAGCTGTTCCACTAGGTGGCTTGCTGGGGGGATTGGGTTCTCATTCTACCACACATAAGTGACACATGGCTTTTACCTCTTCCTAGGAGCCTAGGAAATTGCCTGCATAATTTTGTTCAGACACCAAAATTCAAGAGGGTCCAGCACTGGACTATTGGCTTCAAAGAGTGCTGCAAACAAAGTCATCCCTAGTGCTTGGCTCAGGCTTTCTTGGCTTTTCCTGTAGTATCTCTAGCTTCAGTCCTATGCACAGGGTGTCGTGGGGGGGGAGAGGTATTCTCTAGCTTGCTACTGACTTATCCCTGGTATCATTAAGGGTTCAGAAGGTTGTTTTGGGCAAAGGAGGATCTTCCTACCCATCCTCATGCCCTGGTGAGGAGGCTGTGATTTGGCAAGAGACATACCAGGAAGAGGGTCCAGCTGAAAGCCAGCAGACAGGGTCTTCACTGCCCCCAGCAGTCCCTGCTCCCAGTCAGCTCAAGGGCCATGGAAAATGTAGTGATATTTGGGACAGAGGAAAAGAAGCTGCAAATTGCTTCCCAGCTGGTTAGTTAACTGATATAGGCTGAACTCTATCTCCCTGGAGTTCATATGTGGAAGCTGAAACCACTAGTGTGACTATACTTGGAGATAGGATGTTTAGATGGTGCTAGGGTGAATGATGTCAAAAGTGTGTGGCTCTGATCTTATAAACCTAGTGTGCTTAGGAGAAGAGACAACAGAAAGTTTGCTCAGTCAGTTCCATGTCCCATGTATCATGGTTCTCAACTTCCAACCTCAGAATAAAGGCCACATGAAGACACAGAGAGAAAGTGGCCAGTGAAGAGAGGCTCACTGGAACCAATCCTGCCACTTGCTGTGAAACTTGTAGCTTCCAGAGCCGTTTAGCTACCTAGTTGGTGGTAGTTGGTATGGTGTCTAGCAGACTAAACAATGCCCTTGAGCAAGTTACCTCACCTTCTGAGTGTCTGTTTCTTCACCTGCTTAATGGAGATAACGTTAGTACCCACTGCATGGGGTGCTCCAAGTCTCAAATGAGGTCATGAGTAAAGTGTTTAGCAGTTTCTGGCCCAGGGTAAGCTATGCCCCTCAGGCTGCCTGCAACCTTCGCTGCAACCTGAATTCAGGCCACCATAGTAACCTGTGGACATCTCCATCAACCTCCTATTTCACAGATTAGAAAATGAGCTTCTAAAAGGGTCAGAGCTTGTCTCTCAGGGACAGAGACTTGGATAGGGTGGTGACTGGCACCCAGGGTTTTTAACAGCCCAGTCAAGGCTCCTACTGAATGCCATGCTGCTGGCCATCTGAACAAAATGCATCACTGCCATGCAAGAAAACAGGACTTCGAGTCAGAACGCCTGTGTCAAACTACAAATTGCCCTTTGTAGCCCAGTGACCTTGGGTAAGTGATTGCTTTCGTGGTGCTTTGGTTTCCTTGTTTATGACATGTTGCTCTCAATGACCTTCCTACTCACTGGGTTGCTGCGAGACTAAAATGAGCAAATACAGGTAGAAGTACGGAGCAAATGGTTAAGTGTGACACCACCCCTTCCAGGTGATTTCAGTACCTGCCTCCTCCACACTGGTGAATGCTGGATGTGGCAGAGTCACATCTATCCCCTCCTTTTCTCTGCCCCACCCTCCTGCCAGTGAGGACTAAGGTCAAATATGGGACTTCTGGTGCCTCTTGTCTGGGTCAGAACCCTTTTCCCCTAGGAAAGGGCTGTGGCGTTGTCCCCACTGGGTCATACCTCTGTACCCTCCCATCACTGAAATGACACTAATGGTAGTGTTATCAAATAAATTCTCTCCTTTCTGCCCCCTTGGCCTGCTGGGTTGGCCAGGGATTTATACAGACAGAGATGGTGCCCCGGAGCAGTGATTGATAAGGAGAAAACACACTGGGTTCCTTCAGTGCCACTCCCTTATGCCTGCTGATACCAGTACCCAGAGAGTGAAGAGAATGAGTCTTATCGGATATTCCTGGTGCAAAAAACACCCAGAGAGTGATGGAGGGACCCAGTACACCTGTTCTTTACAGCCAAAGGTCAGTAACTGAAAAAAAGTATAGATAAAAAAATTAATGATTTCAAAATAGAACCAAGTCCTATTTTCTAACAATTTATAACCCAGCAGGCATCTTTTAACTACCGGATGGATACGTTGATCAATGACTTTCCCAAATTCGGAGAATCCTGGTTAATTCCTGCCCCATTCCTGATTTTTTCTTTAAAGGAAAAGATGAGGAACAGGAAAAGGAAGGAAAAGAAAAACTGTTCTCTTACATAAAATCAATGGAGCTCTACAATAAAAACATAATGTACAGGAAAAACAAGACATTTACATTAAAAACATGCAACATTCAGGTGTGCTCTTCCTTGAGAACAGGACTTTATTACAAGGGATTTTTCACTTGAAAAAGATTCACTCTCGCCTAAGTGTTTGCTGAGTTTCCTGGCTATATTTAAACTATGCTTTAACACATGCAACCTCCTAGGAACACATCTTTCAAATAAGGCAAATCTACCAATGTGATCATCGCTGACTGAAAATTATAACAGGTAATGGAAGAGAAATATTCCTTTGGTGTTCCTGCATGATGCATCAAATGGAAGCCAGCAGTAGTAGACACAAATGTCCCTAGGGGACAAAATCATCCTTGTTGAGAACCACTGACCTAATCTGTCAGGAAAAGGCATCACAGAGAGAGTGCTCTAGGGTCAAACAGCATCCCTCCCATTGAATTTTCAGATACTCTCCTCCTGACTTATATCCTTACCTTTAATAGGTTCAGTGTAATATGCTGACTCATATAACTTTCAAAAATAGATACTAGAAACACACCATGTGATTAAAATAGCTGGAACGCAATAGCACTAACTATCCAGTGGTTTTAGAAATTAATTTAAGAAGTCAAAGATACAGGATGTAGGTCTGTGGGTAAGCACTTGTCTAGCATGTGTGCAACAAGGACCTGGATTTGATACTTAGCACTGCCCTCCAACTCCCCCACACCCCCTCAAAAGTCAAGGGTCAGACATGGTGTTTCATGCTTGTAATCCAAGCATTTGGGGAGACTGAGGTAAGAGGATTGAGAGTTTGAGTCCAGCCAGGGCTACACAGCAAGATTCCATCTCAAAAAAACCAAACAAAAACAATACCCACAATACAGTTCTGTCCATTGCTCAGTAACTACTTAACTTTCTACCAATTCTACCCCAAAGCCATCTGGTGGCTGGCTCTCGGTTGATTTATTTGCTCTTTGGCCCAGATTCTAGATGGTTTCTCTGTAGTGTATTCTGCATCTTTCATTCCCTAACCAGGTCATCCAGCAAATCAAAGGCAAATTTTTTTGCATTTGCTTCATAACATAGATTGCTTTTGTATAACTGTGAAGCAGTTAGGTTTTAGTGCAATGAAAGAGAGACCAGTAAAAGATTCATGAGGCTGCTACTGGAGAGGAGAGAACTCTACTGGTGTGAGGCCCTGGAGTCCTTCACCCAGGTTGTCCTGGTGTCATTCGGACCTTGGGTTAAGTTACTTCATCTTTAAGCCTTATTTTCTACAGAAGTAAATGATGTTGGGTTAGATGATATCTAAAGTCCCTTCCAACTTGCAAATTTGAGGTAAGGAGAAAAAGCTACTCTGGGTTGTACCCCTCTCTCCACTGTTTCTTGCTCCAAGATGTGTGGATGAATGAGTTCAGTGAATGCACCTCCAACTGATAAGCTGGGACTGAATGTGACCAGCCTTAAGGTAAATGCATTACTTTTCATTTTGTTTATTTATATTAATCTAGCTAAAAAATAGCTCATAAGAATTAGTATAGACAGTTTCAGAGCCTTAATGGAACAAACTAGGCACACATCAGCACTGGTTACCTCAATAAGTGGGACTAGGAAGGGTAGGCTGGAGTTTTGCTTCCCTGGAAGCTCTAGGGGGCAACACTACTAACTATCTGTGTGCCTGACAAACTGGTCTCCTTTCTTAGGACAGGAACAGGAGAGAATCTCTACCATTTTGGGGTGACACAATTCTCACTTGGCATTATGGAACAAGACTATATACATTTTATGAATAGTCTTTGATCTAAAAATTAGGATACCGGTCTACAGCGAGTGAGGGAGAAGTTCACAACCCAGAAATCTAAGAGTCCACTGCC